TGGAAAAATAAATTAGCACAACTTTGTGACTTATCAAGAGATTTAGCCCGAGTTCATAAGAAAGAATATGTTCATCGGGACCTTCATAGTGGAAATATATTGCATAATCAATATATTAGTGGAGATCTAAAATCTTATATTGCAGATTTAGGACTTTCTAGGAAGAAGGGTGATTCGGATTTGGAAAATGAATTACATGGAGTATTACCTTATGTTGCTCCGGAAGTGTTGGATAAAATTCGTAGAGAAAAAAGTAAGGAACCCTACACAATGGCAGCAGACGTTTATAGTTTTGGTATAATTATGACTGAAATGTCTAGAGGAACGCCACCTTATTATAATATTGATTATGATATAAGATTAACGGGCAAAATATTAGATGGTTTACGTCCAGAATTTGGCAAGGGCACTCCTGAATGCTATAAACAATTAGCCAACCAATGTATGGATAATGACCCCAATAAAAGACCAGCTGCATCTAAAGTTAAGAATAAATTAAAAGAGTGGTATGATATATTAAATAACGATAATGTGGTAGATACAGAAGAATTAAAAATCAAAGAAGAATTCCGAAAGTCGGATGCAATCATTCCAACATTATCAACAATATCATATGATTGCTCTTTAGCAAAATATTCAAGCAAACCGCTTAGTTATTATGGATCCTATGAAAAATATATGGCCATTGAATATTAACTTCTAGAATTGACATTCTTTTATTTTTGTTTATATATTATAAATACTAGATACATGTACATGTACATGTATATGTACATATGTACTTGTACATGCACTTGTATATGTAAATGTACATGTACTTGTATATGTACATGTACATGTACTTGTATTTGTAAATGTACATGTAAAAAACATATTTTCTTTTAGAGAACGAAAAAAAATGTTTATTAAAATCAAAAGTATACTCAACTTACTCTAGAATGTATTATTTCATCGCTTTTTATGATCTCTTTGCTAGAGTTGCAGACATTAGAATATCAATTAACATATACTATGACGTATTGAATATAAATTTTATATGACGTAAAGGGTGACGGAAAAAATAACTACCTAAATGTCTGCAACTATACTCCTTGCCCTATAATTACATGTCACTTTGTGAGTTATTTTTTATTTTTTGTTTTCTTTTCGTCGAATTTCTTATCGGTATGATGAAGACTGTAGCGAAAGAATTTGAAGATCGCTTCCAAATTAAATTATATCGTAACTCTATGATCGTTTCTAAATTTATGTTATTTTCCATGTGACTGTAAATCTGAATCTACAATATGGTGCGATCGATACTGTATATTTAAATAATAAAATTTAAAACAATGCCGAGCGAAGCGAGGCAAAACATAATAAATTTATTGCATTGGTTATTTTCAAAACTAGCTTTATGTATTTGTGTTCTATTTCATTAAAGAGAGAGAATTTTTAATAAAGTGTAAATGTTAATCAAATAAACATTGTTTTTACTGTTTCACTTGATCTTCTAATTATTAGTTAGCTAAAACTGAATGGCAAAGCCTCCCGTATATATAAATTCCAGTATATATGTTTAAATTGCATCTACATTATTGTGAATCTTGATTAAAACTTTAAGTTAGCAATTAATAATTGTTGAAATATGGTAAAAAAAAATGTAGAATTTAAAACCCAGTCGAGCGAAACGAGGCCAAGACATAAAAATGCAAAACTCAAACAAAATCAAACTATAAAAAAAAAAAACAAATAGAATACCACCTTAATATATATTTTTTGATTTCAATTAATCGTGTATTATCAAATTGTCAGTACCTGTTAATAACATATACTGTTTATATGTATCTAATTATTAGTTGGCCACATGAACATGTATAAATTAAAAAAATAAAGTTAGGCTATTTGTGTAAAAGATTATCATAAATGTATACTATAAATAACAAGGAAAAAACTTATTTGATATTATGTATATGTCGTTGAACATGAGTCAACAGCCGCTAAACTCTGTAAACTTGGGTGGAACTATCAAAATGGCATTGGAGTTGAGAAAGACAAGCATAAAGCTTTTGAATACTATAAAAAATCAGAAAATGACAATAAACCACACACAAGGTTTACACACCCAAAACTATCACAGAAAAAGAACTTTAAAATTAAATTTCTATTAGACAAGTTACCAACTCTACTCAATCTACATTACTGATACCCAAAGAAATACACAAATCCAACATGTAACAGATGCACCAGGCAATTGAGGACAATACCTATTGGTTAATCTGTTCAATGAACCCAGCATCTCTATGTCAACTAATAACAGAAACAGTTACAAAGTACTGCTCAAAACAAGACAACCAGCTACCATACTCTGCAACACTAGTACAAAACTTCTTCGTAAATGAAACAGACACACCTAACACCTCATTACTAAAATAATAAATTCCAGAAGACATCCAGACTATCACTTCAATCCA